TTTTTTTTTTTTTAACGTTCTTTCTTGCTCCCCCGTACATTGTGCCTTGTGTTCCCAGGCTTGCCCTTCTTCCCTCCCTTTCTCGAAACCCGAGTGAAGGGACATGTGGTGGGTTCTGTATCTTACCCCTTACTACGCGCAAAGCGTCTCGGGATAGTACCTGATCCCTCGTCACTTTGCCCTCTGTCCGGGTTAAGATATGGCGAATATGTCGGAGCCCCCGCCCCTTTCCTCGTCCTGTGGTCCCCTCCGCTACTGTTTCCTGTCTTCTTCTTTCCCTTTCCAATACTTACAAAAAACCTTCACACTTCTTTTCCAATCTTAACTAGCGCGCCAAACACAGACCCCAATAAGACCACATCAGACGCACGTTCTGGACACATAGCTTCTGTTTACTAGTGCTTCACAAAAGAACAGGATTCGTGGATTACAGACTTTACCAAACAAAACTCTTGATTATCGGCTCTTACAAACTGTTAACATTTTGATGGGGAAGAACAATTCTATCGCTGACATCCCCTCTTGTGCTAAAGGGGTTATTGTAGACCTCTCCCTGGAGAGTAGCTCGCAGTCCGGGATACACTTTCCGTAGTCCGTTCCATACCCCCTCGGGATAGTAGTTTAGCCGCGGTAACCAGGTTATCTCTACGGCGGCTTTTTGTATTGCCTTTATCAGGTTTCTGAAGTCATTGTTTAGCTTCAGTTACAATTTAATTTAAAGTTCGATTAAGGTTATAGTCATTTGTTAAATTCGTCGATGAAGGTTAGACATCCAGGTAATACGATACGCCAAAAAGCAGTTACTCAAGCAACTAGATATGATTTTGAATTATCATGTGTTAAATTGTAATTGGCATATTTTTTGCTATGTATTTATGTTGATAAAAAAGGCTAGCCTCTACCAGGCTTCGAGGGGCGGCTGAAAAGAGTAGAAATTGGCCAAATAGAGAGATAGCATGCTAGAAGAGAGGAGTTGGTATACTTGACTCTGAGTATTGTACTCCTCTATCGGACCAACTCCCCTGGCATAATACTATTATCTCTCTATTTGGTCAGTATCTACTCTTTCCCGCCGCCTCCCGAAGCCTGGAAGAGGCTAAGAAAAAGGTCTCTAGAAACACCTGTATTTACATGATGTATAATAAAAAAACATTTCTCACCTGCACCCTGGCCTCCGTGAGGTCCGCCCTGAGAGCCAGCTGTTCGCGCATGTACACATCCGGGTAATGTGTCTTCTGGAACACGCGTTCCATCTCCTCCAGCTGGAAACTACGTCATAGCAAAAACAAAATGGCGGTGGTCAGAAAGAAAATACTAGTATTATGGTAACCGTGTAGCTGTTTTTAAAACAAATAAACCAATAATTATTACATACTGGGATTTGAGATAAAATGATATCTGCTCACAGTAAATTATTATAGACTGTTTCTACTTCAAATGTTTAGAGGTAAAGTTTTTATTATCAATTTATGTCGTTTTTCTGATTGTCAGGAGCACTGATATTTTAAGTAGTTTATCACAAAAACTGCTGGAATTGTAAAAAAAGCTTTGGACCCTGATGAGTGCTCGGTCATAATAGTCTCTTGTCAACACTTTCAAGTGCTGTACAGCTATGACCTTTAAACATTTACAAACTTTTAACTCTGCGGGGTAATCCTGCCCAAAATACCGGGATGAAGCTTCAAACAAACATAGCCTCGGTAGCAGGCTTATAGAAATGGGGGTTTGGTGGTCTTCGGCTGTTTTCTGATTAGCCCAGTACTAAAAAGACGGGGGTAATTCAACCAGGCCGGCTATGTTGTCTATATGCAATCAGAAAATAGCACAAAAAAGCTCCCAAAGACCATGAAGACCCCCAAACCCCCAGTTTTTGTCTAAAACAAACAGGTATTTTCCCGGGAAGCCTGCTCCTGGCATGTTAATCACATGATCCGGGCCCGCCCCGGGATTCCTACCGACAGGTTTACACGAGATCTCAGCCAAGTTCTTGGAACCCTGAGTGTTATTTTCTGTCGCCACTCCGGACTTACACAGTCTGAGAACTCTTCCCGAAAGTTTGCTTGGTGAAGGCTTAAGTCTTGTCATCACGACAGAAGACGCGTGGCTAGAGTCAGGCAGGGCCTAAGTAGACTTGTATTGTTTTCTGCTGTTATTTTCTGTCGCCACTTTGGCCTTAAAAAGTCTGAGCGAAAACTCTTCCAGAAAGTTTGCTTGGTGAAGGCTTAGTCTTGTCAGCACGTCACTACTAGCAGTGAAGAGTTCTAGAGAACGCGTGGTTAGAGTAAGGCAGGGTCTAAGACTATGTATGGTAGACTTGTAAATTTCACTTCTTGTATCTTGACAGATCTTGAGACAAGTTCTTGGAACCCTGAGTGTTATTTCCTGTCGCCTCTTCGGACTTACAGAGTCTGAGCGAAAACTCTGCCCCAAAGTTTGCTTGGTGAAGGCTTAAGTCTTGTCATCGCGTCACTACTAGCACTGAAGACGCGTGGCTAGAGTCAGGCAGGGTCTAAGACTATGGTATACTTGTAAATTAAATATTATTTCACATATATTGTGTCTTGAGAGATCTTGAGACATGTTATTTTCTGCTGTTATCTTATGTCGCCACTTCGGCCTCACAAAATCTGTGCTCTCTGTCCAAAACAAAAGTTTGCTTGGTGAACGCTTAAGTCTTGTCAGCACGCCACCACATGCTGAACCAGCGCGACTTGAGTAAGGCAGGGAAAATGTCTAAGTAGACTTGTAAATTTCGCTTCTTGTGTTTTGAAACATGTTTTCTGCTGTTATTTTCTGTCGTCACTTCGGCCTTACAGTGTCTAAGCGAAAACCCAAAAGTTTGCTTGATGACTTAAGTCTTGTCCACCAGTCACACTGAAGACACTGAGGCTAAAACTGTCAGCTAGAATAAGACTGGTTCTAAGACGATTGTAATTTCACATCGACACCGTCTTGTGTTAATTTTCTGTCGCCACTTTGGCCTTTACAAAACCTGTGAACTCTGTCCCCAGAGTTTGCTTGGTGAAGCCTCTGTAAGTCTTCAGTAAGTCACCAGCACGTCACTACAGAAGGCGCGTGGCTTGTAGTAAGGCAGGATCTAAGTAGACATGTAAATCGTCTTGAGACGACGCTTTTCTGCTTTTCATGACTTTCTGTCGCCACTTTCGTCTTACAGAGTCTGAGAACTTTGTCCCAAAGTTTGCTTGGTGACTTAGGTCTTGTCACGACAGACGACGCGTGGTCAGAGTAAGGCAGGAAAAATGTCTAGGTAGACTTGTAAATTTAACTTCTTGTGTTTTGAAACATGTTTTCTGTTTTTATTTTCTGTCGCCAGTTTGGTTTACAAAATCTGTGAACTCGGCCCAAAAGTTTGCCTTGGTGAAGGCTTGTCATCAGCACCTCACGACAGACGTCGCGTGGCTAGAGTAAGGCAGGGCCTAAGACGATGGTAGAGTCGGACTTTAAATTTCATGATCACGTCTTGTGTCTTGAAACATGTCGTGTTCTGCTGTTATTTTCTGTCGCCACTTCAGTTTTACAATGTCTGCGAACTCTGCCCCAAAGTTTCCTTCGTGACTTGTCTGCAAGTCCCGAAGACGTGGCAACTAAGACAAGTTCTGAGACGAAGATTTACATCGTCACGGTCACGGTTTCAAGACATGTTGCTTTCTGTCGCCACTCCGGCCTTACAAAATGGGTGAACTTTACCCCAAAGTTAATTGCTGGTGACTTAGCTGGTCTTGTCCGCACGTCACGCAAGAAGACATGTCTAGAGTAAGGCTGAAGACGTTCAGCTTAGAGTACGACTCTGGACTCAAAGACGACTTGTAGCTTTCACGTCGCCTTAGTCTTGTGTGTTGAGCCATGTTACTTTCTGGTGTTAGTGCTGTCGCCACTGCGGTGATACAAACAAAGTGGGGTCGTGTGGCGTAGCGGCAGCGTGCGCGACTCGGAATCAAGAGGTCCCGGGTTCGAGTCCTGACATGCCACCGATCTTGTGCCCTTGGGAAAGGCACTTTACATGACTTTCCCCACTAGCCTCAGGTGAAAATGAGCATTGTCTGTCCAGTATCCGTTTCTATGTGTGGGACACAACACCAGCAACAGCTGCCTCTGTTCCGCGTATATTGCACTGTTGCAATTTCAATAAATCAAATGAAATCAAATCAAACAAACGTGAGTGAAAGTCGTGGTTTCACGTCTATCGGTTCAGTCGATGGCTCAGTAACTATCGTAGGCTTTAAATGCGATTTTTATAGACGTTTATTGCAAATTCATGCCCGGGGGGGGGGGCTAATTGCAGATTACAAACATAAAAAAACAATGAAACGTAGTATAATATAATATAACTGTACTTTCTTTACTAATGAACAAAACTTTGAGCTTAACCCGTAAGACGGGATTGACAAGGTCATGAGTTTTGGCTAAAGTTTAGCTGCCTCAAATTAAGACAAACTTTCATGGCAATATTTCAGGACGTCTCGTGTATTTTACCTTACCGTTTGTTTGTTTGTTACTTGGATCAATCTTCAATTCTTTATCATTACACCAACATTGCAGACATACAGTATATAAAATTATATCATCGGTGTCGATACGTTTTAGAGATTCAACTCAAGACCTAGGCGTCAAAAAAATCGATACAACTTGTGGCAATCGTTGCGATTCGTGAACGAAATTATATACTGCGGTAAAATAGAGATTTGTGAATGAGGATGACAATCAACAACTCAAAGTGGGTTACAGTCAAACCTGCACTAGTGACCACTGCTGCAAAAAAACACCTGCCAATGGGGCAAAGGTTTGGTGGTTCCCTAGACAACTTTCCCTAGCTATTTAGGTGCTAATCCAGTCAAGACTGACCGTGGCCACCTTATCTACATAGACCAGAATGTATCGGTCCCATAGGCCTAGAGTGGTCTTCATGGCCAATTTTCACTGTACTTTCTTTACTAATGAACCGAAGTTACGTTATAGACGTGGCATCGTTGCTGTAGAACACAAAAGATTCTATAAAAACTTGAAGGCATCCAGTGCAGTTTTTAGGGCTTGGAAACCCAATTTTTCAAAGTCAATGTTCTAGTTGTTTGAAACCACAGAGTTGAAACCACACTATCCCACTCTTGAAGCAAAATTCCCAAAACACTGACGGAAAATGGTTACTGGAAGGGCCCTTGGCCGATATTGGGGGTACCTCCCAGAAAATAAAGGACTCATCTCGGGGCTTGTTTCTGCAGTTGTAAAAGCCGAAGGTATGAAATACTGACTCAAATGTGAAGCAGTATATGTTTGAATATGACAAAGATTGCCGTATTCAGAATATTTCCATTTTTGCTGCCATCAAATCGCATTGGATGCCTTTAACAACTCTGTTAGTTCTTCAACTAAAAGCCCGCCTTGTATTAGAAAGGCTGTGAAGCGCAGTTGTAGTTACCTGGTAAACGTCGTCCTGTTTCTCCGCTTCTTCTTCTTGTCCCCGGCGGCGTTAGTCGCGTCCTTGCCCGCCGGCTCGCCTGCCTCGCCCCGGTCCGCTGCGGGCTCGGGCCTCGGGGTCGGCGGGGTGGTCCCGGGCCTAGTGTCGTCCTCGCTGGTGCGGGACTGGTCTTCGCCTTTTTAAATTTGTTGGTAAAACAAAAATTAAGGACATCGGTTTTGACTGGTACAGAAATACTCAAGTCTGGGGTATATAGACAATGACAATGAACTTAATTGCATGTTCACGCCCTACATGGGCCAAATGCACTAGAAGTTAGAGCTAGTGTTACATTTCACCGCGATTTATCACATTATCTTCCTGTCAAGTAAATAGGTTAATCAACATTCATTAATAGTTTAATCAACATCGATTAATAGTTTTTTTCCGCTAATCTCTCTATCAGGTCGTTATAAGGTAACAAGCTTTTACGTGCGTAAAATCTATCCATTTACCATAAAAATTAATCTTTTTTCAAACCAACATAAATCTTTCTCAGTAAAACACAAAATCGTACAACAACTTGCCAAAATGAAGCTAACAACATACACAAGAGTAAATGATATGGTGGTATATGGCATGGAAGACATAGTATTAGAAATGGAAAAGTTCATAAGTAGACACACAGATATAAATGTTTTGAATGAGGCCCCGTGTTTTAAAAAGCAATTTGACGCTTATTTCAGCATGATGGTACAAAACCAAGTACCCCATGAGGTCCTGTTAAAAGTTCCGAGGTTTTGCTTGTTTGTGAATTTAATTCTGACTGATGCTCCATTAAGACCTCTTAAACATGAGAGTTGACACCAGGATAAGAAAATGACGAGTATTTGAATGGTTAAACCGTCTGAGTGTGGCACATGTCGGTGTTGACGAGTCCCTTGTGTGTGTACCGTAATTCGCCATGTATGGCGTCATGTCCACACAACTTTCCTTGTGGCAACGGTAGTTCAAGTGGCCTGCAGTGTAAGTTTTGTTATATGCCGTTGCCACGTAGTAGCGATTTTTGTACCCAGTTGGGAAAAAAGATCTTTACAATGCTGCACTTCAATTAACTTTTTTTTTCATGCCCAGTGTATGTAATGCTGCTATTATTGTGCAAGCATATTGTTTGCATTAACCTAACATTATCCATATGAATATTGACGAAAATAACTTACAGTTAATGTGGCCACTAAGTTTTGTTTCATGCAGATCTGCCATTGATACACTTGGGGGTTTCTGTACTGAGTTGGGAAAACGATACTTAAATGCTTCACCTCAATTTACGTTTTTGCACGCCCACTGTATGTTGTTAAGTAAGCATATTGTTTGCATTAAACTTTGTCCATATGATCATGAATCTCATGTGTGAGAGCAAAAAGGCTGGATGGTTGTTCCTTTTTGTCAGTACTGATGGTATTGTCTTGTTATCCAGTGATCCAGTGCAATTGTCCCCACTTTGTGCACTCCTGTACGTTTGTGTCGGAAAGTTACAGTGTTGGTAAGACTATTATGTGGCGAAAATGTGTGTTGTTCTTGTGATATTTACTAGCAGATTCTGCGATCTCCACAAAGATTTCTTTACCAGTTTTGGAGATAATGAAATTTTGCTTTAATATCACAACTTCCCGAAGACAGAACGTTGCATTGCGTCGGAAAGTTACAGTGTTGGTGAGACTATTATGTGGAGAAAATGTTTGTCGTTCTGGTGTTATTTAATCGAAGACTCCATACAGATTTCTGAGCTTTATATGGGGATTGGCAAAAATTCCCTTCAATATCATCAACTTCCCGAAGTTTCTGCACCACAAGACTCCACAACAGTCAAATGCAGAGTTAGTTTTATGTGTTGTACATATTGTAATTGTCGTAAATCTGTATGTCCTGTTCGTACCTACATTGTGTTTTTATGTATATGTAAGTTCAGTACAATTCAGCGGTCCATATTTTTCTATGTACTGCTGCCACGCTGATCATTGTTTGAATTGTTTGAATAAAGTTGGGATAAAGTTTGAATACAGAAAGACAGAAGGGCGTACGTGTCATATCAGACACGGAATGTACTAAGTAACGAGAGACCGACAAGGCTTATACTATAGATTAGTGGGAACAAATCAGTCATGACAGGAGACTGACCACAAGGCAATTGGAGAAGATAAGTATTAATCAAGTACTTATTCCTGCCGATGATATCTTATGACAATGTTAGTCTTATTTTGTACATGTTGAAAACTCTACAAGACAGGTGAATGACACATCAATGTATTGGTAAACGTTCGGAATTACAGGAAGGCAAGCTGTCACAGCGAAGGTTTTCGGCAGTATAGAGGTGCTCATTGTACCTAGCTATTAGTATATATCTTTAAAAACTGTACCAACGGCCCGGAGTTTCGTGATGTTGAAGTATTCACACTGGTAGGACTGTTAGGACTAAGTGTAAATAATTACTGTGTTTAAAACCATCTCGTCATTTTATGATGACTTGAATTGTATGGTACCATAAGAATAATCTACTACTTACGTTTTTTTAGTACGTTAAGTTACTAAGTTTGTAAGTTGAAGATTGCAGCCAGCACAAGTCAACTTTTGCTGAAAGGCCAAGTTGTTATTTGTTTCCTCATATAAAAGTTAATAAAACCTAACGCTTCTACTTGTTCACCGTGACAATATTGACCTTACTGTAGGGACAGTAAGCAGTGAGTAGTTAAGTCGAAAAAAGTTCTTATTAAACACTGCAAATGAGTTATTTATGAGTTCTTTATTGCAAGTTCATGCCCAAGGGCTAATTGCGAACAGACATTGACAAGAACAATGAGTGCAGAATGTAGTGATATAAAACTATATGAAGTTCTTCGTACACGATCTACTTATTTAACTTACTGTCTCGACCTAATCTTATTGCGTTGGTATGCAGTGGATACTAACCCGGAGTAGTTGCAGCAGTCGTGTCGGGTACCTCCATCGCGCTAGTCGCTATAAGTTCTAGTTCTATGTGTGCACTTTACAATGTTGACCTTACTGTAGGGACAGTAAGCAGTCAGTAGGGACAGACGTTTGTCGAAAAACAGGCTTGAATACTAACCCGGAGTAGTTGCTGCAGTTGTGGCGGGTACCTCCATCGCACTAGTCGCTGACGTGGCGGCCAGGATCCCGGCAATGGAGTGCTGACTGAGCGCTGCCGACCTGCCCATGCTCACCAGCTCGGTGGGCGAGCCCGTGCGGTGCACCGGGCCGTATCTGTCCGCTCCCTCGGGGCCGGGGAAGGGCTGCCCCGCCGGGTAAGCCATCCTGGCGCCGGCAGATTTCCCGCTCCTTAAAAACCAGTGCGTAAAACCAGGCCGCTGGGAAACAGACCACGCAACTTCAATCGCGCCCCGATTTATCCCGATGTCAAACTTTTCTCAGCGTTTTCGGGGCAAATCTGCCACTTCCTCGTCGCTAGAAGGTTAAATGCTTAGATTTTAAACCTTCTTACTCGTCAGCGAGAAACAAACTCACACACAGAAGTGTCGGTAATCGCTCTTAGCTGCGGAGCCGTATTATCTGCCAGATTTTGCCGAAGTGTGTCCTTCAGCAGAGTGCCCAATCACACCGCGACTCGCACACGCCCAGCTAGTAACACGGCGAGAGCTCGAGGGCCGGACTGGCTCTGTTTGCTGGATGACAGTAGTTAGCTAGAGACCGTGAACATGATGCAAGACTGCAGAGGAAACGATCGGCGTATCTAAAAGCTATAAAGCTGATGTCTTGGTTGATAAATGCAAAGATCGAAAGGTAAGAAGAACACAGCAAAATGACAGAAACGATCGCAAAACCCACTTATATGTCATAAAAACGTGATACTTTCTTTAGCCATTTCATTGCCTCCAAAGAAGAAGTCAAACACCTCAGTGATGTACGCAGAAACATTGATATCAAATCGATCTATAAACATTTTATATGGCTGTCTTATCAATGGAATCCCTTGGAATTAGCCTTTGGGCATGAGGTTCATCTTGGGTGCCCTACATTATTGGATAGAGTCTATGCCGATTGCTTACGACCTCGCCACCAAAAGTTCTATCTGCATTTAGGTCAGCGAAAACCCACGCTCGCACAGACCTCGCATAGACCTCGTGGACGTGATCCACAGAATGGTGTTAGAGTGGCCCCTTTGGGCGTGATGACGGCGGCTGCAGCTCCAATGGGAGGAACCAGATTACTTCACTACAACCTTCCCAATCATCGAGCCTCCCCAACCCGCCGGGCGCCGTGGAACCGCTTCGGTTGTAGCCTCGGAACAGACTTTCAATGGCAGGAAACAATTTGCTTACCTTCAGCCTACTAGTATTTCACCACGGTTCCATTTATAACAACCTCTACTACTCTTGGCGGACTGGAACTTTGCCAATGTTGCGCTATATTTTGTTCATACTAAGATCACAAAACCAACTCATTATGCAGAACGTGGGACTACTAGTATTCATAGTATAGTATAATAGTATCAACTGCCTTCAAAGAAGAAGTAGTCAAACCTCATAATAGCTAGCGTAGTAGTAGACATTTAAGTTTTTCCAGACAGTACATGTATTTGTCTGTTCCCTATTACAGTATTGTATTGTACCGTATAATATATTTGACTGTAAAATTAGCCTTCGGGCATGATTTTGCAAATAAAGATTATTATTTTGGGGTGTCTGGATTTATTCTGTTGCACCTTAAGGAGGTGCTACAATGCAAATTTTGATTCTGTGGCCGACAATCTCCTCTTGGCCAGTTTTTTTTTTCAGCGACCCATATACATGGAGTCTGGTAGAGACTAAATCAAGATGTCAAAACAACAATGTAGAAAATTAAATGACCTGTTTGAAAATTAAACGACCAGTGCTATTCTATCACAACCCCGTTTTGTTTGAATTGGAAGAGACACTAGAACTTGGCAAACAAAACCAACGCTCAACCTAATATTTCAGCCAATATATTACTGTACAACAAACCTTTACATGTTAACTTCTAAGTTTCCGCTCATATCATATTATCTCCATTTCTGGCATACCGTTCATACTTACGGAGATAGTAGGCTCCAGAGGTAATTAGATTTCAACTGTCCCTGGCGGCTTCCTAAATTTAAAGTGACCGGTTAATTCTGGAGCTATTTTGGTCCATTGCTGTTTAGTCGGACAGGCAGTTAGTTAGTCTTGTTTGGGCCCTTAAATGGGGTGAAATTGGCATTTAACACTTGCCTTATTTATCCATTCTTAATTTCATTCATTCCATACAGGACATGATACTACACACACACGCACACACATATGTATATATATATATATATATATGTATGTGTGTGTGTGTGTGTGTGTGTGTGTGTACATATATATATATATATATATATACGGTATATATATATATATATAGAGAGAGAGAGATAGGTAGATAGACAGAGAGGTAGATATAGATATATATGAGAGAGAGATATAGATAGATATAGATATACAGTAATATAGATATAGATAGATATATAGTGTACAAGTGAATCTGTCGTACATGTATTTAGCCTTTAGGCAAACCTTTAGTCAGCCAAATCACCCATCTCCTCAAAAGAGCACAGCACAGATTATAGTGAACTAAACTGGAAAGTTTGGCATGGCAGCTTACACCCATAGCGTTGCCTCTTCCTTCGTGTAAATATGTTGCATTGAGCTAAACTTGGCCTGTCGCTTGCCTAGCCTATCATTAGTGTTAAAATGTCACTCAGTTCTTGTTTATTCGTCTTTTAGCATTAGGTGAAGGACGGCAACGTACAGTTTATAGTGAACTAAACTGTAAAGTCTGGCATGGCAGCTTACATCCACAGTGTTACCCATTCCTACATGTAAATATGTTGCATTGAGGTGTACTTGTACTTGGCCTGTTGCTTCCCTATCATTAGTGTTAAAATGTCACTAATTGCTTGTTTACTCTTCTTTTAGGTGAAGGACGGCCTATATGTAAACATGTCCTATGGAACCCCAGTGTTTGCTGCTGAGGCTGGGTTGTAGCTGTAGCCTCTACCAGGCTTCGGAAAGCGGCTGGAAAGAGTAGAAATTGGCCAGTTAGAGAGATAGCATGACAAGGGAGTTGGTCTGCTGCAGAGAACAGTTTGCCGCTCCCGAAAATGTTCTCTCCAGCAGCACCAACTCCCTTGTCATGCTATCTCTCTAACTGGCCGATTTTCTACTGTTTCCAGCCGCTTTCCGAAGCCTGGTAGAGGCTACAGTAGCCGGTCTATCCCCGGTCCATTATAGCCTATAATTTGATTAGGGACTGGGGGAGTTAAAAAGGTCCGTAAATTGGAAGGCCCAACACCGGGCCGGTGTTTGGTGAGTGACAGACGGACCGATCAGCGGGTTCCCGTGGTGAGAACACAGCGGCGAGAATTTGATGACAATTCTGCTTCCCCAACCTCTGTGGGTAGGCCATGCGCCAGGCTCCCGGTAGATTCAGTACCACGGTTAGGCAATAGGAGGGCTGGTGCGCACCCGAGAAGTATTTTATGTACATGTAGAACTGACAGGCAGAATTAAAGAAAAATAGCGTAGAACTATTCTAATGATATAACACTAGATTTTGATTCTATTTAGATTGCCACAGTACCATGGAAGTAGAGCACAGGCAATGGCTGTTGACTTGTTTGTATCGTTTCAGTTTCAGTTTTATTCAGATCCACAATTAGCCTCATAAGAGGCTATTCTTCCTGTGGTCTACACATTCATATTTACATACATACATACATTTATTATCGTGCACCACACATCAAACATCACAAAGCATATTACAGAAACTGGATAAGTGTTCTTAGGTGCGCAGTTAGAAATTGGAAAATAAGTTGTATATTACTATGATATAAAAGACTAACAATCTTTACTGCGAATTCATGCCCATGTGGCTAAATGGATACTTATGATGTTACATGCTTATGAGTAACATACTACAAAAACCTCTTATTTGTCCCGAAAAGTAAAAAAAATGAGATAAATTAGAAAGAAATGTTTAGCTGGTGATTTTTAATCGTTTCTATCTGAAAGGTTTTTATTCATCTATTCATGCAACTTTTCGTTGTCCCTTTGAAACGTCGTGTTCTGTGGTTATTTAGTTAGAAACTTGGTCTTTTTATTTGGGGGGGGGGGGTAAATGTTTCTCTATGCCAACACAGATTGTATACGCATTGTGACAATTCCCACTTCGTGCATATAAGCCCCAAACGTTCCCAGCTCTTCCATGTTTGTCTGGTATTATATATCGTTTTTATTAATGATATGCTTAACTAATTTATTTATTAGTCTTTTGGGTAGTCCGTTTGTTCTGTTGTTGTCACTTGTCAATTCAAAAAAGTCTTTTTTCGGGGGGGGGGTCCAATG